ATTCTTGACTCCATTAATCTGATTTATTGGTTCACTATATACCGGTCAGAGTTCAGCCTTTTTCTTATCTCAAGTGATTATCACTTTGTAATACATTAGACGAGAATATAAAACGCGAAAGAAATATTGATCCTTACGTCGTATAAAAATGATAAAATAATAAATAAATGCGATTCTCTATCGTGACTATGTGATTTAATTAAATAAAAAATCATCAGGTCTGTATTTTTAAATCGATTTGCATTGCAGATTTTCAACGTAAATTGTACAGTGTAAAAAGTGATATAATTGAAAAAGCGACTGTTTTTCTCTTTTTTTCGATCATATAAGTATATAATATAAATTGTTATGAAATCAATGATTAATTTAATTGCATAACCAATTTTTAGCTCTTTTTTTACACGTAATAGATTACGAATTAGAGTTCCTAAATGATATGTAAGAACTATTGTAACAGTATGGTTCAGACGATTGCATTCACGGAAAGAACAATTTTGTTGAAAAGTCTAAAAATTTTGCTAAAAACAGATCTGAAAATAATTTGTGTATAAATAAATTTTTGTTGAATCATCAAAATAATTTGTTGGAATGTTAAAGCTGATAAACATTGCTATAAAACGTTTTGATATTCTAGCAATCACTTTGACTTTCGCACAAAATTATTTTGATTATATTGAACAAATTATTTTCAGATCTGGATTCAGCAAAATCATTCTTTCCGTGTTAGTCTTGCTCGTGTAAATTGCGAGACTCTGGTATGTCGATCTTTTATGTACCGCTCATAAAAAAAAACGTATTGCGAGCGCTGTCGTTAGTTCATTACTAACCGTTGAGACGCACTCCACTGTCATTAAAGCGCGATAGTGGCTCAAGTAGCAATTAAGAAACGGGATCGCCGCAAAGCTGTCGCAAATCTATATATTTACGGATACATTATACGCGATTTTCAATCGCTTAATAACAGCGATCTTCCTAATCTCTCGGCGGGCTCGCATATGCGGAGGGATCCAATCGTATGCAAATGGTAATTATACGCGTATTTGAGCTTCTTCCCCGATGCGCGGTCTGAATTATTTTAAGCTGAATTATTTTAACCGGAAAGACGAGATTAGCAAGCCACGTCGATGAGTGCAGCGATAAATTAGTTGTCTTTTTATATTATACTTTTTGCTTTTTTTCTCGAGTAGATACGTGGACACTTATGTGAAGAGAACGGTCATCCAGTTTCGTTTTATCAAAGCTGTTATTAATTTGTAATCCGCGAGATATATGATACATGTTGCGATATCATTAAAACGTGTACCGGTAACGTTCAGTTTGTTCGACAGCTAATGGTAGGTGTAAATCGACAGGTCGACTTTTTACGCGGCATTTTGCACGGTACCGCAACAATGCAGCGGTTTACAGCAACACGGCTGCCAGAACGGCAGATTGACGAGACAATGCGATTTATTATTTTGAATTTACACGTCGCAAATGCTAATCGACACGCTACATCGAGTTTCATATTTACTCGAGAAATTTTGATGTATTTTTAATCCAAAAATAATAAATATCCAAGTTGCGTAAACTTCACGGTTTGAACGATGTATTAAGTGCCAAGTGTATTTTTTCTAAAGTAACTGATACAATAATATGTATATCAAAAAGCCTTTAAAAAAGTTTAATAGCAGTGATTAGACGAGAAATCCAAGGGTTTGTTCCACATTGATACATCTGTATATCAATAATGGAGTCAGAGACGGAGATTTCTCAAATTCTAAATGACTTTCTTATTCTTTAAATTTAGTTCAATGTTTTTAAAAAGAAAAACTCGGTACTTTTTTGAAAATTTTGAACACGTTTTATTTGTTATTTTAACATTCTAACAAAGTGCACCCTCGAAATCTTCGTGTAACGCTTCCTCGAGTCGAGGAAGCGTTACAGCGCGGGTGTCGCTGCGCCGAGCGTGGCCATCGCCTCGCGCGCCGCGTCTCGGAAAGAAAAGCACGGCCGATGTTTTATGGAAGCCCCGCCGACCATAAATTATAATCAACGTCCGTGCCAACACTCTAACAAACTTCCAGGCGCGTCATTAGGGCGCTGCTGCGGCGGCGGAGGTGCGGGAAGGCGATTGTACGCGCGCGCGTTCGCATTTGTTGCGCGCTCGTTATTAAGCGCTCCCTCGCGCAGATGGGATATCCCGTAGGAATCTCTCCTTCTCTTTCCCCTTGTCTCTTTCTCTCTCTGATTAGCCGCGCACAATGTCCTGTATCCGGTGCAAAAAACCTGCACTCGTTGTTACTGTCATAACGCGGAAGAGCGAAGGCGAAGTCGCTCTCTAAAGCCGAGTTTACGTGTTTCGCCTTTGATGATCGTTCAGGGAAAATCACCGGGAGAATCGTTCAGAAATGAAAGTGCGGTGAATCGGGTGGAGAAAAAGCAAGAATGAAGGAAGTGGAACTTCTAGTTTCGTCTTTATAGAATTAACGTTAGAATTATAAGGCGATTAAAATGACTGTAAATTTTTTTTTAAACTATTCAAATTTATAACGGTGCATTTTCTGAGATTTTCTGTGACTTTTGTTGCAAATATGTAAATAATTAAATTGGTCAATTTATTTTCTTCCCTTTTATTCTTTTTCTCAAGTACATATTAGACATGTTATTGATATTTGCATATATACCTATTTGAAGTAGAAATTAATCGTCGGTAGTTGTAGTGTTGATTACTATATAATTACTATATAATTGAATTTTTGTTTTTCAATAAAATAAATATCAAAGAAATTTCATACGACAACGCAGAAATAAAACCTCCTTCGAATTAAACGTTCGCGTTAAATGTGAGATACAGACGGTGGACTCTTAACGTTTATTTTCTTGTAGCGCTTTGTTTGTCGGTTATTTTACCTTGCGAGGCTTTGGGACCGTGCCCGGTGCCGCGTGTCTAAACAAAAATCCATTCAGCCGCTTAAATGACTCATTCAGGATGATCATCAAGCGTAGACCGTGTAAATTCGCCTTGATGCGCGCGCTATTCCGAAGAGATGATTTCATCACTGTGCCCTACGAGACAAGTGGGCGTCGCGCGAGGAATGTAATTCTTCGGAGTCATGGCGGAGGGGGGGGGAGAGGGGGGGAGATGTAAAGACGCGAGCGCGGAGAGGTAACCTTCTGCAAATTACGGCGGCAGTAAATCGAAAAGCGTTACATTTAACGCTCACGATAAATCGCGGAGAAAACGCGTGATTACAATCGTTAATGCTTCATGCGCCCGCCAAATATCGATCCCGATTAATAAAGAATCCCGCGGGAAATTTATACAACAAACATGTTTTGTATAAAACAATCGATGTAGTAAATTAAAAGTGTGATTTCTATTAAAATTTGCAATGAAAATAAACGTTAATATTAGCTTTTTGTTAAGTTTTTGTTGAGAGAGGCAGATGATTTTTTATAATAAATTAAAAATATCATAGAAAAAACTTACTCGAGAAAATATAAATCTATTAATTCGATGATGCAAAATATCTCGAGTTAGATCGAAATTTGATTGTATGTGAAAGAAATTTATTAACATTAAATTAGTTAATAATATAATTAAATTGATAATATTAATTTAGTATTAACAAATTTTCTTGGTATTTTATATAATATAAAATGATCTTATTCATATATAATTTTATATTAATTCTGTTAATATTTAAAAAAAATGTTTATGCTTTCGCAAATATACAAATTTAAAAAAATCTCGTTTCTTTATAATTTGAAAAGAAATTCACATTACTGTAGCTCTTAATTCTCAACTTTAAAAATTAAATGTTCTTTCACCAGACTTTTGCTGCGAAAATAATGAATCTTAAATTTATTAAGAAAAGGATGCAGTGATAAGTAAAGGATGCGTTTTATTTTTTCTGTGAAATGTAGCAAGTCAATTGACAAGATTATGATGTTATACCACGTGATCACTCCCAACGTCTTTTTCGCAAAAATATCGCCGACATCGTCTTATATCCGCTTACGGCGGGATGTAAGAATTACATTTAAATATTACGACCGCATTACGGAACTGGGATACCTTGCAGGAAGCTTCCCGTTTGATTGTACGTTTTTTTTTTGCTGTTCATACCGGATACGATCAATGTTGCTAATGAGGAAAACGATTACCGGCGAAGAAAAAGAACGCATCCACCATTACCGCGTAGGAAAGAGGTTTTACGTTCGCGTTATTTCACCGAGATGATTTCATCGGCGCGCTTTATGGGACGAGTCGTATGCCGCGTACCCGTTCCAAGATGTAATAGAGTTTACGAGGATGTTCTCTAAGTTCACAAGCAACCTTAATACTGCTTCGTCTGACAAATGTCTGTTAACTTATCTAATATATAGCTAATAGGAAGTAATTTACATCGGTCACTATTTTAAACATAAACAGGCTGTTCTGAAAATGTCCGCTTTCTCTTAGGCGCAACGATTCGTGTTTAATGATTTAAACGTGATTTTTCTTTGACCAAAATCTCGTTCGAGTTCTCGTTTATAATTTGCCTATTAAGTTATCTTTCAAACTTCGAATCAATGTACCGTTAAAGTCAAGTTGAAGTTAAATGAAGATTCAGGTTTTTAGCAGGTATTTTTAATGAATAAAATTCTAATGCTGTGATTTCAAGCGGTAAGGGCCTTCGTTCTGATCACGTTTCAGAGAAAGCGGCAGTTTCATGTATACAATTCGTATGTAAAGTAACGTTGAAAACTTGAAAATCAGGAATAGAAACGATCATGTATAATGTATGTAGCAATGCCTGCGATCATATCTCTTAACAAAGTCATAAATCATGGCAATATATTAATATTTAATTATTAAGAGTTATTAGTCCCGTAATATATACATTCTGCATCAGATACAGATTTATCGGTTTCCTAACGTTATGTGTTTTTTTTTCTTAAACATAAACAAGTTTTTTTTCTCATGAATTCTTTAATTAGTTCGAGTCTTTAGAAATATAAGTGAAAGCACTCACCTTCCACTAAAGATGTTAAGAGCGTGACGTTGGCGGCCTTCCTTCTACCGGCTGGCAGATTCAAACCGATTTTTTCCAGTTTTTCCCTAAGCAGACGCCCGCCGTTTTTGGATTTCGCCCTGCAAAATGCAAAATATATCTTTATATGGAGCCTTTCGCCATATTAACTTTCTCAATATTATTGAAATAACACGACATGTCATTTCGCCGACGAAGAATTCACGATATTATATAACTACAAGTATATCAAGATTTAAATATTTTAATTCTCATATGTTTGGACGTGGACATAATTTTTTTAAATATTTTTACGACTATATCTTTTGTAATTTTCTCATTTCTTGGAAGAATAATTACACACTACATTTGCGTTTTATATAATCATCAACATTTGATATGAATCGCTAAGCTCAGGTTAAAGCTCTCATGTGGTGAATATCGTAGCCGATCTAAAACCCGGTTAGATTACGTCAACGATTATTGATTTGGTTCTCACGCGAGAATTTTACATACACGTCACAGAACACAGAGATTCATTGGTTCATCAACATATTTATCGATCACGAGATTTTTCTACCGTTCGCTAAATACTTGTTCGAAACACAAGCGAACGCCCACATCCCTCGTCCCGTTCCGGCGCGTGAGAATTTCGAAACGGAACTCCTCCATTAATCATTTCGCCGCCGTGATCTCTAAAAAGATGAAATCGAGGTGCGAGAGAGGGGAGGGGGAGACAGCGGCAATCGTATTTCCTCGAGTGGGAAACACGGTTGGATTAGCATAATCCGCGGGCTATACGTGTGTCGCGTCGGCGATTGAGCAAGCTCGACGACAGGCGCTTGAGGATGCGCTCGCACCATCCGTGCACGTGCGTTTTGCGGAATGGGATCGAGCGCTGAAAGAAAGGACTGTGTTCTTCGCACAGAATGAGCTATTCAAGCTAAAGCGCGAGCATATCAACAGGCGAATAGAATTTTTATCGGGCACTTGTGGCATCCTCCTCCGACACGTGTATCTGGGTTAATTATTAAGCGACGTAACGCCCCCCCTCCCTTGCGCGATCGTAAAGACGTTTTATGTTTCACGATTGATTTAAAGTTAAGACTTCTTCGCTGTAATCGTGATTTCGGTCAATTAGACGCGGCGTTTATTCGTTGTCTCTGAAAGCGCATTGTGTTAATGGTATAACGTGACGTTAAGACTAAAACCGCAATTTAAACGCTATAGTTATAAATGAGAAGTATTGACAAATTTCTGTGTAAATACCTTTAGAAACAGCTTCATTAGCTAAATAAATGATTCTTTATTAAAGATGCTATGATGTGTATGTCCTTTCAATGTTGAATAACACGCAGGCAATTTAATTAATAACGTATCGAATAAATGCACATTTTTATATAAATTTTATAACAAATGAACAACTTTTGTTAGTTGAATGCTTCTATACAAAGAAATTTTAATCGTCCTCTTTTATATTTTACGTTAAATTGTGTATCGGATGGCGTCCCACGTGATTCTTTCGGACGAAGTCTATCGAGACATCATCAAAAGCTGTGTTTTAATCCTTTTGCAGCCGGACAGCGACTTCGTGTCGTTAATCCACCGGCGAAGTAAGAAGCTGCGAAGTAAATTTTTTTCTGTGGAACACCAACGGGAACGCGATAGTAGCAGGGACTTCTTTCTTTAACACACCCTGTCCATCCATCATCTCGGCCTGTTATAACGGTAACGCGTATCGCCTACCTTTGTTCGGTTCGGCCGCCCGGTCCGCCCGGTAATCTTTCGCCTCGCTCGGCAATTAATACGTTTTACCGCTATGGGTTTTTAATATCGACTCCTCCGAATTTACGTTCCGCGTTCGCTCCGCTCGTTTTATTTCCTCTGAATCGCACTGTCCCATGTGTTTCTTGATAATGTATTCATTTTTAGATAGACTCAAAGAGAAAGCGATTATAATTACATCTCTGTATTAATTACCGCTGCGACTAAGAGCGTGTTTTCATTTAGGTCAATATCGAAAACTTTTATCTATCACTTCTTGAAGATATGTGTACACGAACATTTTAATATTTTCATCTTAAATATATCGTAATATATGTAGAACGTATAAATCACCACACCGTATTCTTTTATTTATTTGTCAAAGGTAGATAAAGCTTTGTAATATGTTAAAACATTTCCTTCAGTAATTTTCAAGAATTTAATTTAACTTGAAAATTGAAGTATAAAAATTAAGTATAAAAATTGCGCTATTAACGATCGTTGTACTTTCATAATTCCTCCTCTCAATTTATATTATCACATTACAGTTGAAAACTCAGAAAGATCTAAACTGACAGATCTGCTGAAAGTTTTCAACGTGCATTCTCGTTTCCGTTCAGATCCGTAAAAGTCTAATCAATCTATATTCTAAAACGGGTTTCAAGCGATGCGATAATCATCACCGATTATATACGAATCGAGTAGACGCAAGCCAATTTCACGTATCCCGAGACACAGCGGAAGAATTTCGACGAACGTAATTGACCGCGGAAACGGTCGTGCGACCGGATCGAATTTTCGATACTTAACGATTGCCATCGCCGACGTTTCTCGGTACGTGACGAGAACACGATGCTGCGACTCATTACCGGAGACTTGTCCCGAGAAGAATCCTCGTCCCCCACTCAGACGTATCGCTCTTCTCTACGTAAGGGTTTCCGCGATTTGCAACCCTCGGCGTCGATTTCCACCGATAGGAAGATCCCTGAATGGCGGAGCTCTTGCTCCCCCTGATTGCTCGAGACATCCTTGAACGCCTGGCATCGTTAATCGTCTACGGACGCCACGCGGCGTTAGACAACCGAAGGACTTCATGTTCATGATCAAGTATCCTGCGCGTCGTTCGTTTCGCGAGATTGAGGCGGAATTATGATTAACACTGATAAAGTGTAGCGCATGTATATGAGAACGAAATGTGGACAATTTTCTAAAATATAAGATTTCCAATACCTCTTTGTTGTGTGTGGATTTTATTGTATATCTAACCTATTAAAAATATATATCATTTATAAGGTAAATTTATTTCAATATTGTTGATATTTAGTATTGTCGTATGCCATTAACTTTTTAGAATTTTTTATTAACATAAAATTAAACAATAGTTTATATATTATACATATATCTCAAAATTTTGGAATTTGAATTATAATAAGAATTCATATTATTAATAATATAAACTTATGTTAATAAATTAATTAATATTAATGTTAATAATTCAGTAATAATATTGATATTAATAATATTAATATTCATAATTTATATTAATGATAGTATAAATTACTACTAAAATACTAATAATATAAATTATATTTTTAGATTCTTTATCTTTCATAAAAAATTAAAAAAATTACTTTATGATTTACAAATTACTAGAATTAGTAATTATAATTATACTAAGGTAGCACTTAAATAGAATTTCCTGGTGGTTTAAAAAACTGTTTTGAACTTTTTTTATCGACATCTTCTAGTCGTAGATCGAGGAAGTAATATCGGAATATCGCTGACGCAAATAAATTAGATCGACAAATTGATTGATCGATCGGCGCTTTATTTTTACGATTAACAGATTTAATGAGAGTCACGCTGAAAGAATAATACGCGATAGATTCTCTATATGTTACCAATATTTTTTATCGCAGAAGTAAGACTACAGTATTATCGTGACTGTGGCTTACATAATAATCGACGTGCGCATAATCAGGATACATCGCGACGTACACAGAAAAACAGAAGTATAAATTTACAAAGAATATAATTAGAAGTATAAATTCTAATGGATCGACAAAACTTCTATCCTACGGCGAAAGTCAGCCTTGTTTTCGAGCCTGACGACCTTGCGCGCGATTTTCAGACTTCCAAGCAGATGGTGGCCAATTCGTGAAGGCCTGCCGGTATTCAACGGCAATTTACGGAGCAGGTGAGGGTTTTGCTAATCCCAGGTAAATTTCCAGATTGGATAGAGCGCCCAATAGGCGCTATTTCGCGTGGAAGTTTTTGAAGGTCGCGCATCTCGGAACGCAAAAAAATATACACGGAGGACACATCCGAAATATATAAATACATGCATCTTTTTGTTATAATAACGATTGATACATGACGATACATTGTGACTGTAAGTGAAACTTTCGACTTTCGCGCGAGTATCCGTATATGTTTTGACATCGATTGAGATACGATATTATTGCAGGTTTTTTACTTGCTGTTTGTCTTGCTGTGATTAGTGTATTTATCCACTTTTACTTTGTATTTATCTATCCTGCCTTTTAATAAAGAAGCCAATTGACAGTGTTATTGTCGGCTTACTTATCCGACGAATCTCGTGCTCGCGAGTTCCCAGTAGACGTTATACTTACGCCAATTGGTATCAGGACGCTGATACCTGATTCATATACATGTGGAGAACAAGCCCGGCGCGTACAAAGAGACAAAAATCAATAGAACGCATTGAGAAAGCGTGCGTTGTGAAATTGAGCTCAGGGCGATCGAAAAATCGGTCGGTGTGAAAATAAAAACGGAAGGCGTGGATCTTCGATCGACAAAAGCATGCTCGCGCGAGCGCACACACGTGCGTGCGCGGCGAACTGCAGCGATACGACGCAATTGATCTTCGCGCGAGACGATCTCTCGCGGCTCGCGGCGTATTGCGAGCGACGGAGTCCTGGACCCTCGTGTACGCGAGTCGCCGACGGACGACCGAGAACGAGATGCAGGGAGAGACAAAAGGAGCGGAAAAGAGAAAGAAAGAGAATCTATAGTGGCGAGTCTCGGTCCAACGCGCGTGTAATTATCGGTCAGATCGCTATGCGAACGGATGAATTATAACGTCGCGGCCGGTGCGAGATGCCGCGGTCGCCTCGAGGCGCGCGCACTCGCTCACTCGCTCGCACGCCGAGGAATTGACACTCGCAGCCGCGCGAGTTATTAATGTCTCATTTGCATCGGCGGTATAGATCGGTCCGCTTTATTAACGCTTCGCGGCAAGAAAGATTTGCCACGCTCTGTCACTCCGGCCGCGCGAAATCAACGATACGTGAAAACGCGCGCGTCGAACGATATTTCTTTCATTGTGGAAAGTACGCACTTTCCTTCGGACACGTATTCTAAGACGAATAATGTAGAGTTCGCATTAACCCAACGGAAGCTTCGTTAGACAATGACTCGTAATTTTTTTTTAATCATCAATATTCTAGTTGTATTTCATGCAAATTTCTTGTATAAGATTAAAATTACATTCACTAGCTCATGTTTAAAGTTAGTACTTACATAAGATTAAAAAATATATATTTATTCAAATTATAGAATAGACTAAACTAACGAATACTAATAAGGTGACGCTTAAATATAAACATAAAATTTATTCTAATCAAATAAGCGCGGATTTACTTAATTTCTTTAATAAAAATGATGTACGAGCACTGAAATAATATATATAATTGAGATTAAACGGATATTCAAAATAAGAATTATATCTATGACGCATTGTAAGGCCAGCGTATAATAAACTAATAATGTGAGGCAAGCTCGTCAACCTTAAGCGTCATTAGTGCTCGTTAGTTTGACCTGTTCCATAATTTGATTGTTTTTACATTATCAAGCTTGCCTCACATTGTTAGTTTATTATACGCTGGCCTTACAATGCGTCATAGATATAATTGTTATATTTTGAATATCCGTTTAATCTCAATTATATATATTAATAATCTCAATTATATACTATTATTTTGGTGCTCGTACATCGTTTTTATTAAAGAAATGGATTAATCCGCGCTTATTTGATTAGAATAAATTTTATGTTTTATATTTAACCGTCACCTTATTAGCGCTCGTTAGTTTGGCCTAATCTATAATTTGATTGTTTTTACATTGACGAGCTTGCCTCACATTGTTAATATATTTATTATTTTACCAAATATATATATTTAACATCCAACAAATCAAGAAGCTGTATGTAAATTTGAGACGTTGAGACTTTTCCGCGAGCTTGTTTACGATATTTTGAATTTTCCCGTTGTGCATCCTCGCAGAGGATCGGAAGGGAAATGGCGCGAAGCGCGCGCGATTTCGCAATGCCTCAACGGTGATTTCGTAACGCCTGTTGCGAGAGCGGGATCCGGCGTGAAAAGTCGTGCGGAGTGCGTGGAAGTATATATATCTGGCGCTTGCATGCGCTTGCATGCGCGATTTATCCACGCCTTTGGTGATAAAGCATTGCGCAATGAGCGGTGCTCTAGCCGGAATAAAACGGCGAATCAGATAAAGGCGGGGTGCTCTCCCATGAGGAGCGTCTATAAATCAGATGGCTGTCTGTGCCCACACGGTTGGGCATGAGAGGGCACAGGATGAGAGAGCTGAAACGCGCGCGCGGGTTTATTAATTAGTCCCGCGAATATATATAAAGCCGCGTGTAACACAACGTGCAGTAACGTGCGCCTCGCCGATCTTTTTACGCGCGCGCATTGTCCCGATCGGGCGCTGCGTCAGTTATACCGGATTACCTCGGATACGCGCGGCGGCCGGAAATGTCGGCGGTAATGCGTGCAACGCCCGGTGTGTTTCGTATTTCATTTCTTACCGCAACGACCTGCACGGCGCAGAGCCGTAACAGAGAGCGCGATACACACTCCCGCGGACTGTTGCGGATCTTCAATGCGCCTCTCCGTAGGAAGCGGGATGCTGCACTCGTTATCTCTCGCGTCGTCCTCTCGCGCGCGACGGAATATTCATGAGGAATCGCGATCAAGCTCCCATTCCGCGCGCGCACACGATCGGTTTAAAGTGTAGCCCGCGAGGGAAGATGTGCGAAAGATTCGTATCGACGCTGCAGACTGTAGACGCCTCTCGTACTTCTATTAGGTCCGCAAATTCCCGCAAATTTGATATCACATCGATGTGGAATTTCCTTTTTTAATCTTAAATTTTAATTTTTAACGTTTCATTTTCTTACGCAATTTCTTTACGATTCTCGTGTTGGCTCCTTCGGACAACGGTGCGCATCGAGCATCTTCGTTCACCTCTTCCGTGCTATCGCGAAAGCTGCGCCGACTCTCACGGCAACGACATTTAATTCCTCGCGTGTATAAATGCCAAATTATCCTAACGGTTTGCTCGAGAGCCCGCGGGTCCGAGGCGTGCGTGATTAAAAATGAATGAATGCACCGCGCTCTACCTCCGTCTTTTCTCTTTGCCGAAAGAGTTGCTTGGGGAACTCTGCCGGGGAGAAAAGGCGAAGAAAGAGACAAGAGAATTATTGCACCTGCAAATCGACGAATCTCTCGCCGACTTATGTATCGCGACGGGAAAACGCGAACGATCGACGTATTTATTTCTGCGCGCGAGAGATACATTTGCGTGAAACTGTTCTTAATTGAAATCTGGTTACTTACCTTCGTAACACGCCACCGAGGAGACTCGCGTTCAAACATTCCGGTGGCGACAGTCGTCTTTGTACCTCCGCTACCGTAACTTTGTACTTGCTGGTGCTGCTTAGTAACGATAATCGTCCTGGGACCGAACAGAATACGTCCGACGGTTGCGCGTTTCCGGACAACATAGCCTTCTCGCTCCTGTCCGAAGGTTTCATGTCTGCAAAATTAAAGGTGTGACCGTTAGAATGACCTTAAAGCTCTACAAATATCAAGATTCATATTGGCACATATCTACTTTAGAAATACTATAAAGTGGACCGCGTTAGAAAAAAAAAAATAAAAAAAAAATAAGGAACTGTACGCAAGGGCAATGCGTTCAAATCTTAAAACGTGTATCAATAAAACAGTAGATGAAATATTTAACTGTACAAAATGTTGAAATCAAAATTATCCATTCAGCATATATTAATATTTTAATTTAGAAATATTAAATGTAAATTGGACCATTTGTAGGAAATGTGAAGAAATAAAATAAACTAAGGAATTACATCTACAAACACAAGAGCAATACGTTAATAAGATCTTAAAACGTCGACGAAACATCATATGTTATATATGAGATACTTAATAGATATAATCGCTCGTATAGAAAGATAAAATATCGATAAGTTGCTCTTTTTTCGTGTACCACTTAATTATCTTATTTAGTAGATGTTTGATATATGCTAATCGAGAGTTATGTTGCGTTCGACATACTACTTGCGCGTGTACGGATCGCAAGATGGAAGAACATCTTGTGTGAGTGACAAGTGAATGAATGCCAGGCATCACTCACTGCTGATACACATCGATAGATTTTCAGCTCGCACGCCCATCAGGTGCGACCGTTACGGACTCCTCCCGTTACGTCATCGATAAGCAATCGGTGTAATGACGCGACTTAATAGCTCTAATGAGCCGAGGAAAGATTTCCAGGAGTTATCGGGCCAGTGTGCCCAACTTTTTCATCTAAACGAGTTTTATTAATGCGGGAGCTCGTTATACACCGGGAATGAGAAATGAATTCCGTCGAGGCCGATATCGCGGCCTCTGATCGATGTCGCGTATATCTCGGCGTCAGGATTTCTCACGATTTTATCCCGATCTCCGCCCGCGTTTTCGTCGACGTAACGATAATAATCAGTTTTCGTCCAGCGGACGAAGGAATGCAATAATCCAGTTAAGACTGCCGCATAGTCCATTCTCGTAGGTCAAAGTGAGAGATTCGCGACTCGGTAGAGCCAAGGAATACCGGAACCAAAGATCCCGAAATTATGTTATACAGCCTCGCTCCCTCCCTTCTTCTCTCTCTCTCTCTTTCCCTGTATGTATGTGTGTACGTGTACGTGTATCTTGCGTGCGTATAAACCGTGATCAGGGCAATATCTTCGGCGAATATTTTAAATTCGCCCGTACCGTTCCTGTTTTAGCTCCTATGCATCGGATAGCCCCGCATTATTGCATCGCTTGCCCTGGAATGCTTAATATCGTGCCTTGGGGGCCCCGGACAAAGCGCGTTATTACATGGCAAAGAGATGGTCAACTTATAACTCGGCGGGGCTCTTCATCTTCGCCAACGCACGAGGGATGTTTCTTCCAAGTTTTACGCGTTCTCGACACGAGGGAACCGCGCGTTGAACGAGAGAGACATTTCGCGTATAAGAGACGAAAGCCGCGACCTCGTCTTTTAATAATCGAGAGAAAACGCGATACAAGGACCTCTGTTTAAAGGAAAGTTTCCCGGCTGTATACGGGGAACGCAACACGGTGTATTAACTTAAATGGCACAATAAAGAGAAAAAATAAAGTCCTGCGCCTGCGAACAGAGAAAATCACCGTGGAATATTTATTGTCTTAATATCAGCTAACTATCGCTGCGTTTCGCTTGATACATCGTCGGGGCCTCGACTAAATGCACCGTCATTCAGCGAGTTAATGTCAGCGTGTTATGACAGATACACGAGGACGGCTCTATAAATCTAACCGATAGATATCTCACGGCATTTTTGCCGGGGCCGGTACCATTCCCGCTCTATCGCGCTCCCGCGGCGATGCGCGGTCGCGCTGTTGTTCGCTTCGTTACCCGTCGAAACTTAAAACGTCGCGATTACGACGCGCCGAGTTGTACGCCGAGGGCGCACGTCGCGTCGAGAGTACACAGACGCAGCTTGATATCCAAGCACGGAAGACGTCATCGTCGTCGTCGTCGTCGTCGTCGTCCACGTCCTCACCGTGTGTCGAGCATCGCCGGGCGAGCGAAGAACGGGAGAAAGTAAAACAAGTTGTCCGTATTATCTATGAGCGTCGCTATCGATCCCCGTCGATGTCTCGATCCCGACGGTCAAACGGATAATCAATTTCCGCGCACACCAAATAGGTCGACTTGTCGAGCCTTATAAATTATAATGTTCGAGAGGAAGCCGCGATAGAGAAAGAGAGAGGTAGAACGGACGCGTAACGGTCTTTGGCAGCCGGCGTTAGTCGGACAATTTGGTAACGTTGAAATGATGTCGGCATGAGGGAACGAGAGGAGAGAGAAGACAGAAAGAAGAGGAAGAATCGGGTGTCGGCGGCGGGTACACGATCTCCGTGACTCGCGCGTCAAGCGTGCGTTTCCTCCTCGCTCCACTCCCCGGGTCTGATATTAGCGGATACGTTAAGTATGGGTTTTATACGGGTTATGGGTTAAGCCGAGTATCGTCCCTTTTTTTCTTAACGTATATACCTTAGTATACTTAGGAATATCGGCGAAACGTTAATATTTTCTTCCTTATTCCTCCCTTCGCATGATTCGATCATTTAGCTATTTCTACCGGAAATACCGCTGTCGGCCGACCTCGAGCATTGTTATTTGCGGAAGATTTCGATCTTTCTCGTTCACAATTCGAATGTGTTTCATAGTAATTTTATTCCGCAGTATATATGTTTATATCGCGGACTGCCGCGGACTGCTTTGATTGCAAACGCGATGTTTTCGCTTCAATCTTTGTATTATGGATAGATTCATCGTAAAATAATAATAACTTAAAAAATGTCAATTTTTCTGTAAGATATAGAAACCGAGGGCTATAAAGTATGTTTGAAGGATTTAATTATCTAATATTCGTTGCATTCGAAGTAAACTTGTGTACATAGATTTTGACCATTAATTTAATAAAATTGCTAAGACAAGAGAATTATTTTATTACTTCAACACATGTATATTCACACAGATTCGCATTCTAAGAAAAATTGCATTTGTAATTAGACTTCATGAAAACATTTTGTTCAACATGTTATACTTTTTTCACGTTATACATATACATGCGCATTACATTTTTATCTAACGTCAATTTTTTATTTTCCTTCGCAACCAGTCCTTTAGATTCATAAATTAAAATGCATTTTTTTTTCAATGTTAAAAAATATTAACAAAGTGTAAGTTCTTTCTTTAATGAATTTACGCGAAGTTTATGAATGGGAGTTAATCCGAAACGGTTCTCACTGCCGTCGTAAACCGAGACCAGGTGTATTTCGCCGAATTTACAGTCGCGTCTAATTGAAATCCTGCGAATCTATCGAAACGCGCAGTTTCCGAAAGACAGTTACGGCTCAGTTCGTCAAGTACCAACGGCGGCACGTACGCGTCGTTAGAGAACATCATTTAGAGACGCCTAAGTGCTGCGAGCATTTCTAACCGTCCGATGCTGCTATCTCGAACACTTATCTCGATTCCAGTAACGGTTTACGAACGTATTATTAATTTATTTAATGAGGATAGCTCAGGCTTCGCTTATTTTATCCGTAGGATCGGCGTCTATAGTGCAAAGCGTATAATTATCATAAGCTGCCGTAACCTTTCGCCGTGTGAATTGCGAAACCGTCTCACTCATCGGACGGACAATCGCTATCGGTCTCTCTATCGCCGCTTAATTACTCACTCCTATGTCGAATAATTCGATAACCGTAGCAGAAATAAGCGGATTCGTAAGACTTCACTCGCGATTCGAATGAATCACGATCTCATTGTCGTACGACTCGTTTATCTTAAATTTTTGCGTAATATTTTGACCTCAAATAGACGGACAAAACAACAGTGACACCTCCTTCTTTGTACGTCGTTTCGGAAATGGAATTCCAGCGGTGGCTAATTTCGAATGCATTCAGCAGCGAACTGCGTCTACGAGTGCGCGCGAGTTACCGAGATAACAATCGCGAACGCGTTACGCTCCCCGTATACGCGTTCCGAGATGTGCTCCGCTTCTCTTCGAGCAACGACGCACTTGATACGCACTCGAGTGTCTTTCTCATGAAGATTGCCGTCGCCATATCTCAGACTTCAGATTGCGCTCTGGAGAAAATAACGCTAGATAATTTGTCAACGCTATAGCTATCGCAGATTCGAGCCTACGAGCGCGCAGCACGTCGCGAAACGAAACCGTCGTGCGATTTGTTCCTCGATTAATAATTGCAGATAGACTCGATAACTGTGCAACGTACTATAGTTTTAATATATGTATATATATATACACACACACACACACACACATATATATATGTATATACATATATATATATATTGTTCGTAACTGTTCATACCCGTCTGGAGTCTCTCGATTACACAGCAACCTGAATCACGCGTGACCATGACACAGGAAGCACTTTACGTTCTTACGTCTTCGCGTTCTTGCGCATCTGTTCCGAGAAATATCTTCGAAGAAACCTATGAGAAGACTCGGCTCGCAACACGAGCTTTTCTCCTGTTTCGAATCGTGCGCGAAGCGTCGAGCGGAATAAGTAAATAAAAATTATTCCGAGAGTGCATCGGTCTTTTCCGCATTTATATTGTAAAATAACACAGGATTTTAGATTTTTCGTTGTTTATAAAAATATATAAAAAAAATTCTCTTCCACATTTATTGTAAAATAACATAGAACTTTAAATTTCTTTGTTTAGAGAAATATAAAAAGAATTCTCCTCCACATTTATTATAAAATAACAGACTTTAGATTTTTCTGTTCATTATATTTATATTTTAAAGAAATATAAATAAAGAAAAAAAGCTGTGAAAAATACTGCGATAAAGTGCTACTTTAACATAATTGGATTTAGATAGTTCATTAATTTTTCTTGTATGTTTGAAGACAATAGAAATGAATAATATATATGATACTCTTTTGAGAAATTATAATTTTTCT